CGCCGATTTTGAAAGAGACTTGTACTCGGTGCTCGACTTGGATGGTACCGGAGTCACTAAGCCATTGCACTTTGTATGGATGTGGATGCTTCGTCTTGGGCAATTGGAGCTTGAAGCAAAGTTCTTCACTTGCGAGATTGTGACAACTCCCTCCATCGATGATGACCTTGACAGATCGTCCATTGATGCCGGCCTTGGTGTGGAATATGGTGCATCTTTGGTCTTCTTCTTGGTGATGTTGGAGAGTCAAGACTTTGGAGACAACAAGTGCGGGACTTGAGTTTTCATCACAAAAGACTTGTTCTTCTTCATTGTTCACTTGGCGGTGCATGGCGACTTGCTCAAGGGCTTCCATTTCTCCTTCGCTCATGGAATCATAAGTGCCATCGTCGTTGAAGATCATGGTGCGCTTGTTGGTGCACTCATAGGACTTGTGGCCTCGGCCGCCGCAAGTGAAACACTTGAGGGAACTCGTCTTGACGGTCTCATCGGTAGGGGTTGTTGATGATGAAGCTCTTGGCTTGAAGTTGCTTGTAGTAGGCGAAGCTTTCTTGGAAGTCGACTTGTCGATGTTGGAAGTAGACGGTCTTGTAGTTTGTGTTGGCGTCGTTGAAGCTTGGTTATTGGAGAAGCCGTATGACTTGTTTGAGAATTTGGCATACTTGAAATCATCTTGCACTTGGCGTTCCGCTTTGGTAGCTTGGTGCACGAGCTCGATGAGATTTGAGTATGGTTGGAAGTCGGCGATCTTCTTGATGGGATGATTGAGTCCATTCAAGAAACGTGCCATAGTTTGCTCATCATCTTCCGTCACATTGGCTCTTATCATTGCAATCTCCATCTCCTTGTAGTATTCTTCAACGCTCTTGGTTCCTTGCTTGAGTTGTTGGAGTTTCTTGAAGAGGTCGCGGTTGTAGTAGGTAGGCACGAATCGTGCTCTCATGACATCCTTCATTTGTGCCCAAGTAGTGATGGGTGGATCACCTCTTGCCTCGCGGCGCTCAATGACTTGTTCCCACCAAATGAGGACATAGTCTTGGAACTCAAGGGATGCCATCGCGATCTTCTTCTCTTCTTCATAATTGTGCAAACGGAAGATCTTGTCAACTTTCAATGCCCATGAAAGGTATTCTTCGGGATCGTTGCTTCCGTTGAACTTGGGCATGGTGAACTTGAGCTTGCCGTAGCGTTGCTCTTCATTGTGTTGGGGTCGGGGATGATGACGCCCATGTTGCAGATGATTGTCCAACTTGTGGTGCTCTTGACGTGGAGGGTTCCCATTGTCTTCATGCTCTTGATGAACTTGATGGTCTTGGCGAGCTTGTGGAGGAACGCGTCGAGCTCGAGGGGGAACTAGACGATGCATGTGAGCTTGAAATCGTCGTTCATGAAGTTCTTCGCGAAGTGCTTCCTCTTCTTCACGGGCTTGTCGGCCTCGGTCGGCAACGGCTCGACTCGCATCACGTAGAGCTTGTTGCGCCTCAAGTGCTTGAGCGTCACGGAGTTGTTGTTCTTGACGTTGAGCCTCGGTATTTTGTGCATTTTGGTGTAGACGCGCGCGTTCTTCCTCTTCATGTTGGCGTTGTTGTTGCCGTTCTCGAGCTAGCGCAAAGGCTTCTTCGGCTTGACGTCGACGGCGCTCTTGAGAGTCGGTGTCCCGAAGCGGATTGAGGTTTGCTTGATTGTCGGTGCGCGCGGCTCGACGAAGAGTGTTCGAAGTCGGTGTACTTGAGTCGGAATGGCGACTTGAACGGCTCCTTCTTGAAGTGGAAGAAGAGCGGTTGAGCAACAAAGCGCGATTCTCGTCCATCCTTGCGTCATTCTCTTGCTTGTGATCGTCGAGCTTGTGGTCGAAGTAGTCCCTTGTACGTTGCTCGGAAAGTCGCAAGTCGGCGGCAAGGTTGTCGATGCGTTCACTCATAGCTTGTTGCTCTTGATGTAAAGCACGTTGTGCACCGAAGAGATGACTCTTGGTGAAGAAGGAGTTCATGTCGTCATCTTGCTCCATGAAGAGTGGGTTGGTAGAAGTACTTGACCTATCCATCATTCCAAGACAAGTGTGAGTGGTAGAAAGAGAAGAACGAATACCAAATGTACCTTGATCGAAGTTGAAAGTGAATCGATGATCACTCCAATGTAGGACAAGGAAATAGCCCAATTGGTACGAATTCTCGTCGGTTTCTCACACCTACACAAGTAAAAGCTTATGGTGGAGCTTGGTTAGGATGGTGGCACAATTTTTAATGTGAATGTAAGCAAGATTCAATAATGTTGGAGAAGATTCGCAAGATGCGATGTAACAAGTAGACCAAGCATATACGGTACACAGAAACACACACGCAAAAAGATAAGTGGGGTTGTGCAACCAAGGGTGAGCCAAAATGTGGAATCCACAAAAAATGCTCTTGTTGCACAACACTAGAGAGACGCTAGCACGATTGCACGATAGGCGGATACAAGAACTTGTGCACAACCTACTTAGCAAAAATGCAACTACTTCTATCCCAAATATGTTTTATGCAAGGTGTTGCTATGATATGATCCAAGATGATCGAGTATGACAATCTTAATGTTGTATGATGCTATGGTTCTTGCTTAAAAGCTCTTTGCTTATCTTTCCTCTTTGCTTAAAAGCTTGGTTGGCTCTTTGATGTTTGAGCTCTTTTCTCATGCAATGCTTGACGAACCAAGATAGTAAGTGAGTATGCGATGACAACTTAGTGACACAAGAGATGATACCAATATAGGCAACAATGATGTATGTATGTATGCTATGGGAAGTATGATCACTAAAGTGCACAAGTCTCGTTGCCGGCAATACTCAATGGCTAGTCTCGATGGGTAAGCAACGCAAAGGAGTAAGGCGATGATGGCTATCAATGTAATGGCAAGAGTGATATGTCCACTACCAAGATGAGGTTACCGGTCTTGCTTCCGGTATGGTGTCAAAATGGTGGCACGAATACCAAGTCGTAGTCGAGGTGGTCGTTGTTGATGACCGGTGTTGATGACGCGTCCGTGGCGAAAATGAGCGGCGGTGGTGTCGATGTCGAACCGTACCTAGATAGCCGAAACACAAAAGGATACGGTACCGCAACTCAAATTCTCAAAACCAAAGGCGATCAAAATCGTCGGAGTAGGTATCGGTTAGGTGGTGGTGTGGGTTGGGATATTGGCAAAGATTGCGGAAAGTCGGTGGTGGTGTAGCGGATGTCCGGTAGTGGACGGATGTCCAGTCGCCGGTCGTCCGGTCGGGTCGGACGTCCGGTGCTTCCTGGGTCGCCGGACGTCTGGTGATGTGACGGTCGTCTGGTGGTCGAGGTCAACCGAAATTTTAGATCCGGGAGGTGATTTTGGGGGGAATATGGGGAATTTGGGAGGGATTTCGAGGTGGAGATGGTGGGTGAAGGCTAGATCTACTTGCAACGCAACAAATTCACGGATCAAAACCAACAAAACATCATCAAAACTCACAAAACACAAGAAAAATTTTTAGGGCTAATTTTGTGGGGATTTTCGGATTAGGACGAAAAACAACAAAATCAAGCTAGAAAAACGAAGAGGGGGCTCCGAAATCGTGATGAACCTGGCTCATGATACCAAGATGATGTAGGGTAGAGACCCTATAGCCCGATCTTTCACGAAAGGAGCGGATCCCGGGGAAAAAACACGAAGAACACGAGGATGAACGGAAGGTAAACACAAGAGGAAATCACTAAACCGACACGAATAAGTCACACATGGGCTAGATCCTTGAGTACATAGAACGATACATGAATCCATGGACAACTAGGGACGATACACGGTAACCGGTTCTCCTCCGTGAGGAGGTCTTGAATCGACAAGGGGATCTTCTCCGCAAGGTCTTGAATCCAAGGTGGATCTTCTCCGAAGAGGGGTCGCGGTCTCTCTCCAGGAGTAGATCCGATATGGATGAGCAATGCTCTATCTCTCAAATGAGCTAAACCAATGCTAACCCTAGCTAGGATGAATGGGGGGTCTATTTATAGTCTTAAGTGCAAATGGGGGCGAAGTGAAGGGGTACATGGGCCTCAGGCCCGAACACTGTGCGCAGACAGGTACCGGACGTCCGCTGGGGACCGGTCGTCCGGTGTCTCAGGAGCTGCCGGACGTCCGGTGTCCTCCGGTCGTCCGCTGATTCCGCTCTGTGATGGGGGTGCCGGACGTCCGGAGGCTCCGGACTTCCGCTGACTTCGGCTTGGGTGTGGTCGCGCTGGTCGTCCGGTCGGGGCCGGACGTCCGCTCATTGGCCTCGGGTGCAGGGGCACCGGTCATCCGGTCTGGACCGGACGTCCGCTCGTTTGCTTCGGGTGTCGGGGCACCGGTCGTCCGGTCTGGACCGGACGTCCGCTGGTTGGGACTCGGCAGATGCTTCAGGCGCCGGACGTCCGGTCCCGGCCGGTCGTCCGGTGGCTGGGTCTTTTCCGGCAGCCCTTCTTCTTCTCCGTCTTCTCGTCCATCTTCCTCTTCTTCTTGTCCTTGCTCCTTAGCTTCTCCATTGTACCTGAGTATGCACAAAGTATCCATATGAGGTAGTAGCCATGCTTCATGTGCATCGAAGTGGAATTGTGAGAGGAGAGATGTCATCTCGGTTTCAAGGGCTCTTGCACGTGATCGAGTCATGGGTCCGGTAGGCACTTGATGAGACGATGGTAGGTCCACGGGGATGACCTTGGGATGCTCCGCATCACAAATACTGAGGCGAGTACAATGTTCTCTTGGATGTCATCAAATTTCTTGCTAATCCGAGTCAAGCTTATATTCATTCTTCAGTGTTACGAAGCCAAATCTAGTTGGTACTTAGATTTTGTTTACTGTAAATACCAAAAATATTCATACGGTTGTGATATATATCACAACGTTCGTCATATGTTATTCAGCTGTCAGATTTAAAGTAGCATTATGTATGGTAAATCCATTAAAGTAGGATTACAAAATCTTTTCCACAATCATTAATATATTTTTGTCTCTGTTGCTAGGTTCCTATATCCAGTGGGAATGGGTCGTACCCTTTTCCAGTGGAGGTGCCTAGGAACACAAGATTTTTGTTCTCAAGTAAGACCAGATCACCTTCCAAGGCAATTGCAAAGTCTGTTGTAAGCTATCCTTATCCTTTCAACTATTTTTTCTTGACAGCTTGTGGAAGATTTTATGCACTTAAGCCTTTAATATTTGATGTCTTGGTATCAGCATAAAATATGCATGAATAATGGGGCCAACTTTCTTATGATTCTAACCACTTGTTCAGTCACTAGCTAATAATTTATGGTGTATTCTGCTGATAAAGTTATCCCTGCTATTCATGTTTTAGTTCATATATAACAAACTTGCCATAGAAAAAAAATACTACAGCATGATATTTTGTAAACATTACGGCTTGTTGCATTGTTTAACCAAAGCAAGATACGACTAATATTATCTTTTATTTTTGTTTGCAGGTGTACCTTTTGAAGCCTAAAAGTCTGGCACTGGAACAATTTGAGAAGCTCATAAATTTTCTAGAACAGTTTGTCTTCTGGTCCTTGTACTTCTTTTTGCTTGTCGCACTGGCTCTTTATTTTGTTTTAACTTATGTCTTTCTGGCATTTAGATTCTATCATCCATCAAATGGGGGTCGCTGGACCTACTCATTGGAGCGTTTTCTGCGGTATCTTGTTTTTTACTTTGAAAGACGTCTTCAACATGAACAATTGTAAGTGATCAATCTTAACTCATGCTGCAGCTTGAAGTATCTTGTGCCACATGAGAATTTTATTGCTTGCATCATCTGATTTAATAATGGCAATGCAGTGACACAATGGATGAGAAAAATGAGCAGTTCTGTTTGGGAAAAGAAGAGAGAGCTGTTTTTATCAAAGTAGTGCTGAAATTACTGGATCGTGGTCAGTACAGCAAGGATGATTCTCTTGCTGAAACAGTATCCATTGCAACTTCAATCCTGTCTTATGTCGAGCCATCCTTGGTGCTTCCGTTTGTCGCAACGAACTTCCAACTAGCCTTGGAGACAGTAAGTTTGGCAACACATGCAGCATACCTGTTACTATTTTTCTTGAGCTTGGATGTCATTATGACATGCAGGAGCCCTAAAATATGCCAATATTTATAGTTTTCAGTTAACTCGCAAGCAAGCTAACGACTTTACTTTTTCCTGACAGACTACTGCCACCCACCAGTTAAAGAATGCTGTCACATCTGTCGCATTTTCTGGACGGGCGCTTCTTCTAAGTTCTTTATGCTCAACTCAATCTGGTGATAGTAGCATGATTGATACACTCTATGATCTTATTGTCACTTCCCTTTCAAATGCATTGCTTGGTATGGATGCCAACGATCCACCTAAAACTGTAGCTACGATGCAATTAATTGGCTCAATATTTTCAAATGTAAGTATTTATATGATTTAACCTTGTCTTTGCACACTGGTTTATGATATTGCTGTGCAGCATTTAGTTAACCATTGTTTGGTGCTTATAGCTGGCTACAGTTGGTGTTAGTGATGATGTGCCTGCTTTCCTCCAAACTTCCTCTCTATCGGATTGGCTACATGAATTCTTTTGTCGGCTGTTTTCTGTGCTTCAGAATCTGGAATCAAGTAGTGCCATGTAAGCTGTGGTTGCTAAACTTTTAAATTGTCATTACTACTGAATTATTTTTGGAGGACATGCTAAATGATATCTTTCTCTTTTTGTTGTGGCAGCGCGGAGGGTTACCAGACCTCAATCATGCCGGGAACTTTTCTCGTCGAGGACAGCCCTCACTATTTTTGCATGCTAGAAATAGTTCTGGGAAAGTTATCAAAAACCTTATTTAATCAGGTATTGCGCTTTTTTAATTAAATGCTCCACCTCCTTGTCCTAAAAGGTTTAACATGTGAATTTTCTGTCATGCTCATGCTTCTTGATTTTCCAATTGGCAGTCCCTTAAGAAAATTGCCAAGTTCGTCAATGCAAATATCCTTCCTGGTGCCACTTCAGAAGTTGGACTTCTTTGTTGTGCCTGTGTTCATTCATATCCTGAGGAGGCTTCAGTCTACCTTGTAAAGCCTATCTTAATGACTATCATGTCCTCCTTCGAAGGTACCCCCACAACAGGTTATGTTGGAAGAGAAGTTCCTAACAATATGTCTACTAAGGTTCGTTCAAAACCTGTAACATTTGTTGGTTGAGCTCTTACATTCATTACACACCAGCTGCCTTGTATGCACATGCAGGCTACACTTTCTCCTGCTCTAGAAACAGCATTGGACTACTATCTGAGGGTTTTGGCTATATCCATCAGTTATGCGGGTCCTGTCTTACTGAGCTATAGAGAAGAATTAAAGCACGTAATAATGTCTGCATTCCAGGCCCCTTCATGGAAGGTTTATATTTCCTCTTATCTTTCATACATTTCGACAGACAGTCACCCATTATATGTTACACTTTGAAATGATGAATTCCTTTGGAATAATCAGGTCAATGGAGCTGGTGATCATCTCCTTCGCTCTGTGCTAGGAAGCCTGGTTTCATTTTATCCACTAGATCAGTATAAGTATGTCTAGCTTATTTACATCTGTCTGATTTTATCATTTGATCTTTAAAAGATGTTATCCAACAAAATCTTGTTATTTTATAGGCCATTTTCTTGTCAGTCCATTGCTAATATTATTGAGCCATGGGGTTGTTCAAAAGCTCATCAGGACAGGGAGGTTGAAATGCTTAATTTTCCTCCGAAGTGGCATGATCCCAGTCAAGATGAACTATCTTTTGCAAACGAATTGTTAGAATTTCATTTTCAGTCGGCTGTGGAAGAGCTTTTGACTATTTGCCAGATGGAAGTTCAGTCTGAGACAGGTACATATATTCTTGTTCTGACCAACGAGATAACCCTGTATGTTTTTTTCCGGCTTGGTTATGCATATGTTAAAGCATGTATGCTAATCTGACAGGAAGCTGATTACACCAATCTATGTTAATAATTAAGTTGTTTTTCTTATTTTTGTCATTGTTCTCTTTGCCCGAGTGTCCCCTTGATACCCTGTTATTCTGTTCTTTTGGCAGGAGATGAAAAGGAGCACCTAAAAATAACGCTATTGCGCATTCATTCTGCATTGCAGGGTGTAATGTCGTGCTTACCTGAACTGCGTCCATCATATAAAGATGGGAGGTCCAAGGTAGTAGAGCCCAGTTTCTTTATTGCAGGATCTTCTGGTAGCACCGTTGGCAGCTCAGAGATGCGTGAAAAGGCTGCAGAACTTGTGCACATAGCTTGCAGGTAATGTACATTCGTACTGCACCCAGTTCTACTTACTAATCATTTTAAAGCTTATTTGCTTTCATCATTTGCAAGTTTATTTATTCTCAGCATTCACAATTCTTTTAACAGGTACTTATTAAAGGAAAGAACTGATGATAGTATTCTCCTAGCACTTGTAGTACGCGTGATTGATGCTTTGGTGAACTATGGTATGATAGCTATCTTAGAAACTTGCACACTGTACTTTTGACTGCTTACATGACAGTGTACTGCTGTAGGTAGCTTGGAATATGATGAATGGTCAAGTCATGTTCAAGCTTGGAAATTAGAGTCTGCTGCCATCATTGAGCCTCAATGCAACTTTATTGTTCCATTCCATGCTCAGGGCAAAAAGAGGTATATATTGGTCCTACTTTCTAGTCTGATTCCATTACATGGATTGCGATTGAAATTCAGTCTCTTATTTCTGTTAGACCTAGATGGGCACTTGTCGATAAAGCACACTTGCATAATACGTGGAGATGTTCACAATCATCATACCACAGATACCGGACAAATGCCAATGTATCTCCGTCTAGCCTCATGGTTAATTTGGTGAAGGATCTCCTAGATCTCTCACTACACAACTATGAAACTGTTCGCTCGTAAGCTCTCTTTCCCTCTTTATTTACATGTGACATGTAGCTTGCAACTTCTGTTTAGGCTGTTAGTATGTATTTTCGTTCGAATATTACCATCAGCATAATACATAGTAACTCGAGAAACTGTTGATTCTGACTACTGTATGTTTCTGTTTTTCTCTGTTTTTGGAATATAACAACGCACAGTTGTGGATATTGATTTGTTCATAGTTTTCTTTATCTGGCTGATATTGATCATGACCCCATAGCAGAAATGAAGTTTCAATCAAAGGGTTATGTGGTCATACATCAGTGACCTACTTTACTTTGTTACCATGTTTCCAGGTATGCTGGAAGATCGCTAACAAAAATGCTGAAGCACTGGCCTTCTCTAATTTCTGATTGTGTTCTTACCCTGACTGAGAATTTGCGTGATTCGAAAGCCCTGGAACATGTGGTGCTTGGTTCTTGCAGCATTCTTGCATCACAGACTGTTTTGAGACACTTGACAACTGTATGTCTATTTCACAATCATATATAAGTTATATCAGTGATTTTAATTATATTAACATAATTGTTCAATGTAGGATTCTGCTTCCCTCTCTTCATTTATCATGGGAATTTTGGGAAGGTAATTGGCAGATACTCTAGGTTTTCCCTAATCGTTTCTAATAGCTTAGAACTACCAGTAATGTTTCTTTACACATACACAAAAGAATATGAGTATTTAACACTCAACAAACAAGGAAAGAGAAGCATGCAGTATCCTTTGTTAAAAGAGCACCTTATTGATATGTATGTACTAAATCTAATCTTCTTGTTCTGTAGCTCTCATCATGAATCGATAAAGTGTCAGAAAGCTATTACTGAGGTAAGTTTCATAAACATAAGACGGAGAAAACTAAAACATGATATTTGCCACTAAATATTCTGTATATGATGTTTACAGCTCTTTGTGAAATACAACATACGTTTCTCTGGAATATCAAGGTCTTTTTTCAAGAATTCTCAAAGTCTGGCTGACAGGCCAGGATTTCTTGGATTATTTTCTCAAATTAATGCTTTGGGCTTTGAGACTAACAGTCTACATTGGAGGTAAGCTATATGCCAACTCTATGCCAAAAACTGCGGCATCTGTATTAACATCTAGCACTTACGTTTTTTCTTACCTTGAAAAATACCTAAGACCTCTCTGTTTTTGACAAATATGTCAAACAAATTCCCTCTATTATTTTTTCTGGTTCTCTAATTTAATCTTACCATAGATAATTTCTTACGAGTTCCACGTGAGGCTTGATATGGCCTAAAAGTGGGCAGAAAGAAGGCAAGCAATTTTTTCATCTAAATTGCGGAAGCCGAAACTTGAACCTGAGACCTCTTGGCTCTGATGCCGTATTAAGTTTTTTATGCACCAACCAGTAGAACCATACGTCCGAACTGATGGAAATGGTTGGGCAATCCACATATACTTCAATATAGACCACTGTGCAGTTTGGATGGTACTAGAAGCTGGTCAGCTTAAATATGTCTTACCTTTTCCGAGATGCATGTTTATGTTGACTTCGAAACTTAGTATTTCTGTTGTTACAAGAACCGCAAATCTGTTGACATGTTTGTCCAAAGCGTTGCTCTGTAACTGCAAGACTGCAATATAGCTGCATTGTTGCAACAATTATAGAATCTCGTGCCCCAACAAGATGATGCAGGGTGTATGGAAAAAGGGTGTATCTGTACGCTGGGAGGTCTGAATATGTTGTAACCATATATGCAGCTGGCTACTTGAGCACAACATTTCTTGTTGGCAACATGGCGTGTGAATTGTGATGGGATGATGGGACATGGTTCTCATAATTCTGGTGGAACTGGAGGAATTTGATAATTCTCTAAAGCTTTCTTCTGAACTGATTTGTCATTAGAAGCTTTCCGTATGTAGTAGCACTCCTACAAAGACAATAGCGTGAAATCTACTATTCCTTATTCATCCCAATAATTTGATCTCAATAATAACTGTCATGCCATTCTGTCGGAATAAAATGACTATCTTCCCTGCTATTTACATACATTTTATTTTAACCTGTAAGCTGTATACTTCCAGGTACAACCTGATGGCTAATAGAGTACTTCTGTTGCTAATTTTGGCATCTAGAAGTGAGCCTGACATTTATTCACAAATCCTGGCAGAGACTGCTGGTATGCACAGCTTCTCCTGTTTGTAGTTTCTTTTCGTAACATTGAAATGAACATGTATGCCATATTTTCATTGTCATTTTCTCCAGCTGCACGTTCCTGAAAGAACTTCCGTAGTCATGGGTTTGTCCTTCATTGTTTAAAATATCTGTTTTATGCTAGGTCATTTCTTAAGAAATTTGAAGAGTCAACTCCCCCACTCAAGGATGCTTGCAATATCTGCTCTGAACACACTATTAGAAGGATCACCTCACAAGGCATCTGTGGAAGATTCACAACAATCATTAGATCACCCTGAAGAATGCAATATTTTGTCAACAGGAAGGCTTCTGAATGACATAATCCAGGAGGAAGGATTCATGAATGATACACTAAACAGTCTCTCACATGTACATATTATTTCTGATAGTGATGGTTCATCAAAAGCAAGTTATGGTGCTTCATCGTTTCAAAGCGGATCTGATAAAGCAATCACTTACTTCTATTTTGATTTCTCTGCCTCGTGGCCATGTACCCCTAGTTGGATTTCTTTAGTGGGCGGTGGCACATTCTATTCCAGCTTTGCTAAGATATTCAAAAGGCTTATACAACAATGCGGAATGCCAGTAATGTCCTCACTTCAGACTGCACTAGAAGAATTTCTGAGTTCAAAAGAAAGATCAAGGCAATGTGTGGCGGCTGAAGCTATGGCGGGCATGCTTCACTCTGATGTCAGTGGGGATTTGGAGTCTGGGAGTGACTGGTTGATGCTTCAATTGCAGAAGGTTGTGTTAGCTCCATCTGTGGAATCAGTTCCTGAATGGGCATCTTGCATTAGATATGCTGTTACTGGCAAAGAAAGATCTGGAACTCGTGCTCCTGTTCTCAGGCAAAAAGTATTAGATTGCTTATGTACAGCAGTTCCTCAGTCTGTAGCAACTAGTGTACTTGCCAAGAGATATTCTTTTCTGTCTGTTGCTCTAATTGAAATTTCTCCACATAAAATGTCCCCAGCAGAGGAGCAGTACCACGTTACAATTCTCAACGAACTGCTTGACAATATGAGTCACTCATCTGCACAGGTAATGTCAGATCACTTCTATGTGGAGGTACCTTTTTCCTTTCTAATTCCATTGTCTTTAATGAAGTTGATACTATGATCACACCTAAAGAATATTTCCTTGACATATCTAGCAAAATCGGCTGCCCTTCTGTCGTAGGACTTAATTGAGTGTTGCATGTTGTATAGAACATGTTCTTGAGCACCCTTCACTAGGATTCAGGGTCTATATCAATGGTATGATATTGTGTAATCGGGCTTGCTATGTGCTGGATTAGGTTCCTGTAAACTGGATTGCACTTATATTAAGTCTTGGACTATCTTCGTGGGTGACTGGCATAATTATCAGATGTGTCCGAACCAGAAGATACATAAAGCGCTTATAGGCTCGGACCCTCTTCTGGTGGGTGACTGGCATAATTGTCAGTTGTTCAGATGTATCCTTGCTAGCTCTCAGCTACTTGACAAAACACGTTTTGCATGTGAAATTTGGTTAATAAATTCATTTCATTGCTGCTGCCACAAGTGGAACCCTATAATCTCAATTGAAAATGTGGCCTATATTATTAATTGCAAATTAAGGACGCAACCATACTAGTTCTCAACCCCCCCATATAAAAGAGGAGAAAAAATGCAATATGGATAGAGCAAGCGTACCAAGAAAAAAATGAAAAGAAATAAACACATACTGCCACACATTTCAGATTCAAGCCTATCAAAGGTTATGGCAGAATCAAATTGCCATGGCTACTCACCATAAATTCCCGCTAAACTCCCCATCTCATTCCCAATTGGCACTGTCAAAATTTTCTGAAGTAACGACAAGCTTTTGATAATAAATGGAGCCCAGATGTGTAAAGAAATATAGTTATCTCGAAAGAAAACAAACTCTTATCCATTTCCTTTCATTTTGATTCCAGGTAAGAGAGGCGATTGGTGTTGCTATGTGTGTCGCATGCTCGAATGTGAGATTAGCTGGTGCACGTTCACCGGGAGTCCTGACAGAACAAACCGGAAATGAATATTGGTCTAAGCGTTTGACAGATGGAGTTACTGAGTTGTCTGTGAGTATACAGAACAATAGTCAATCTAAGCAACTTGAATTGGCATCCGATTCATCCACTGTGAATGGCTTGGACAATAAAGAGGAGGCTGACGCTAAAAGAATGGAAACGGTGTTATTTCATAACTTTCTCCAGGTTGATACGTGTACTATTCCGTTGCTTCATTCTAGGCTTATGCTTTTCTTTTGCAGATTTTCCATTTCATGATTGCATCTCTGAAGTCTGGGAGATCTTCCGTTCTACTAGATGTTATTATTGCACTCTTCTACCCTGTTCTATCATTACAGGTATGCATTGTGGTAACTTCGCTGTAGTGACATAACCCAATCTTCCATGAAAGGAATTTTTACCTGTACACTCGTTTTTCGTGGTGTTTTGAGAGAAACAAGAATAATGAAGTGGAAGAATTTTCTCTTTTGATTTGCTAACCATATCTTAGAAGTCCAGTAATCCTTCTATCTTTCTGAAGAAAAACTGAAGTTTGATCCTACCTACTAAAATTCTTGAAAGTTGAGATTTTCTTTTGAGGAGAAGACAAAAATATTTTAAACCTTCCAGGAGGTCATCTTTTTTTTTTTTGTGGAGACAGGTACTAGCAATTGTTAGAATTAGGAATTCTAACAATTTGACTGCCCTGTTATGTTTTTGCAGGAAACATCAAATAAAGATTTGTCATTGCTTGCAAAGTCAGCTTTTGAATTGCTTAAATGGCGGACTTTGCCGCGCCCTTTTCTTGAAACAGCTATTATGGCTATCCTTTCTTCAGTCAGTGATCCCAACTGGCGAACCAGATCAGCGTTGTTATCATATCTCAGGACCTTTACATACAGGTTCATACCCTCTCTTCTGATTGCTATTTTTCCAGTATTAGAATAAATGTTTTTTTAGTCCGCAATGTGTTCTTCTCTAGTTTTATTCTCAGTGTGAAAAACTTACCTTTGATACTACACTGGCAGTGTCAAAACCTAGGTCATTGCTGCAAACAGCTCACTGACTGTTTCTATGGTAGTGTGGCGTGACTTGTGAAGTGTATTATGACGTATTTTTCTCATTGAGGATGATAGAGACTTACATTATCTTGTACTTGCAGATCTAGTCTTCTTGACGGGTTAATATTTCTTAGTTGTCATGTGGTTTTGTGATTCTCCCAGTGGTCTTGGAACTAATCGAAAGTTAATTGTCACAGGCACACATTCATTCTTTCTGGCTCAGAGAAATCACAAATTTGGCAAACAATCGAGAAGTTACTTGTGGATAACCAAGTTGAGGCAAGTATATATCTTTATTTGGCCTCTGACTCACTCAACATTTTCTTTCCACCTGTTGTGTTATTCAAGAAATGTGTACAATTTGTACTCCTGACATGAAAAGCACTAAGAATATCGATCTTTCTACTTCTAGCCTTTTCCTTGGTATAATGGATACATATGAGTGTTGTTCTTACTAAAGGTCCTCTAAGTGAAGATACCTGTTGCTAATTGTATGAACTTTACCATTCTATACTCAGGTCAGGGAGCATGCTGCTGGTGTTCTTGCAAGCTTAATGAAGGGTATAGATAAAGATCTATCGAAGGATTTCCGTGATAGATCATATGCACAAGCCCAACGTATCCTTGATACGGGAAGAAGGTAAACTTTGTACTGAATTCTGATATTACTGTAGTATTTTGTGTCACCGATTGTTGAGCAGATAATTGGCTAATACATGTGAATGTTTTTCATGTTGCAGAACTCCAAAGTCCGGCCATTCTGTTGCTACCATACATGGTGCAGTACTTGCTCTGACGGCTTCGGTGCTTTCTGTCCCATACGACATGCCAAGGTACTCGCTGGCCTTACCTTATTTGTTGCATAGTACTCCCTCTGTAAAGAAATATAAGAGCGTTTAGATCACTAGAGTACCTTATTTGTTGCATAGTACTCCCTCTGTAAAGAAATATAAGAGCGTTTAGATCACTAGAGTAGTGATCTACTCTTATATTTCTTTACAGAGCGAGTTGATAGCAGGTGGCATCAGCAACAGATTTGTTGATAGTTCCATTGCTCCATAACCCACACTTACGTCAGCCCTGGTCTTTGCAGCTGGCTTCCTGGTCATGTAACACTACTGGCCCACTTCATCCGCGAGCCGTCTCCTGTGAAATCTACTGTGACAAAGGCTGTTGCTGAGTTTAAGAGGACACACGCCGACACTTGGAGCATCCAGAAGGATGCCTTCACAGAAGACGAACTGGAGGCAAGCTCAATATCTTCAATTGCTGGTTTGCTGCACACGTTGATGTCATTTCTCACAGTTTTGCTCAATTTGCGCTTGCAGGTCCTCCGGGATACATCGTCCTCGTCATCGTACTTTGCTTAGATTCAGAGACTGATACCAATACAGTGATAGCAGATTTTATAAATTTGGCCAGGAGGAAGACTAGTTGCACTGGTGATAGAAAACTTTTATGTTATTTTCAATCGATGAACTGCCAGTGATGATCATATATCCATAGTTGCATAAGGTGTATTGTAGTTTCGTCAATAAAGGCTTTCCTTCATACAGGCGATAGCTTTGATATATGGACTTGAATGAGTATATATATGGAATGAGCTTCTGCAGTTATTATTATTTTTGCTAAGCACCGGGATAGCAGAAGCGGGCAAGAACTCGCAGGCGCACTGCTAGTTGAACGCACGGCGGTTTCGCCTACTAGAAATAGTAGGCGAAATAGTCTGCTGATTTGGTATTGGTAATGCCTGGTGCAGCATGTGGTCTTTACCTCCAACATGTCCTGTCGTTGCTTAGCAAAAATTCAAGGTTTTAGTTTGGATACTGGGCTTCTGCGATTATATTTCACATTACTATGCCTTAGTTGCAGTTTGGATAGCGTGCCATTTTGGCAGTACTAGGAGATAGATTGATTTGCGCCATCTACAAAGAGTTAAGGGCCTCTTTGATTCGTAGGAATCTGAAAACGTGGGAATAGGAACAATATAGAATTGCAATGTCATCTCATCTGAATGCTACGAAAGGATTTTTCTTTGAAGAGGTTTGAGTCGATTCTAAATTTCCTATCGAGTACGTAGTACAAAGAGTTATTAAGAAGCAAACCTATAGGAAACAATCATACGAATCAAACACCAGCATAGAAAAACTCCTACGAATCAAAGAGGCCCTCTGCGATACATTTCACTTGTCCGAGACGACATGGTTCACTCAAACATGCCTCTCGTAGCTCCACCAACCACCATATGCATCCATATAGCTGATCATAGCTTTCAGCAGAACGCCGGTCCCGCCGTGATTTCCCGCTCTGCGAAATCGCTCACGCCTGTCGTCTAGTCCTTCCCTGCACAGTAGCCGGCACCCTCCGGTGTCCGGTCACTCTCTGTCACCACACATGCATGGCCGACATGACATCCTGTCATTGCCGCGGCGGCTGATTGTCCTTGCTTTCATGCCGAACTGTGTGCCTACCTACTCATGCTAGCCGGCCCCAACCTCGGGCGGTCCGTTATGTCCTGCAAAGGGCAACACATTGGTAAACTGTAATTTTGCAATGTCTGATTGGCTGTACCCGATGCCAAGAATGTTCTAGAACAACGGGATCGACTGCATTGTCTTTTTTTTTACGCCGTTCTCTATATCAATTGATGCTTCTATGTGAGCATCTGAGATTATACTGTGTTAAAAAATATATTCTTGTGGTTACTTTATTTCTCAGTCTTGGTCCTTCCATTCCATCGTGGTTAACCCTGCCGCCGCAAGCTGCCTGCTGCCTGATGATAGGATGCAGTATCCCTTATCAGATCTTAGCCAATCAGCCTTCCAAATTGAATATGCAACAACGAGTTCCGCATGGTGTGTTGTTTATAGACTATGGTTAGATCAGGCAATGGGAGATATGCATGCGCATCGTAGCTAAGACACTTGAAAAGAAATTTGAGTTCTTTCGACAAGACAAAAGGCCCACTTTCTGCAGGAATCAGCATACTTGGCTCTGGTCATCAGTCTTTAGGGGGAAAGATCGCTCTTGCCAGATCGAGGAGAATCCTTTGGCTGAAAGAACAACGAAAGGTACAGCCAACCAAAAAGCCTGAGAACTAAAAACACATTAGTTGTATCTTTCTCTTAGCTAAAATGGAGTCGAAATGGACATCTGAATGACCATGTGTGTCCGGTTTATGCCATCGGCATACTTGATCCTTGAGTCAGCCAGCCGAGCTTGTGCTGCTCACGAATCTTAGAGCATCTCCAGTTTGGCCCCCAGCGCACCCAGCGAAGGTTTTTTTTTTAGCATCAGTACAGACACAAGCGCTCATATACACGCGCATACACTCACCCCTATGAACGCACACATGCACACCCTACCCCTATGGGCACCTCCGAGAGACTGAGCCGGCATATCATCTTGAGATTTACGAAGTCACCGTAGGCGCTTCGTCGTCGACGGGAACGTCTCCCCCCACTGAAAGCGCATCGCCGGAAATTCTGAAATAAATCCAGTAATAATGCGAGCACCAGGATTTGAACCCTGGTGGGTTGGGGATACCACTGTCCACCTAACCAACTCAACCACAGGTTGATTCTCCCCAGCGAAGGGTCTTGGCGTTTGCGCCGGCGCTTTTTTCGGTCTGGGGCGATCGAGTTCTCAGTCGCGCCCCCGGGTTTCGGCCCCCAAAACGAATGTAAAATTCAAAGTTCATTTTCCCACTACAAAAAACGACACAGTTTGGTGATCATGCCACAGGTCGGCGTTCATCCTGCCACAGGGCTGACATCGAACATTAGCCAAAGTCCGGCGATCAAAAGGATAGGAACAAATAGACGTGGAGCTCAAGCGGTAGGCTCCTCTGCCGCAGGGCTGGCCGAGGTCGGCGTGGGTGTCAGCGTGGGCACAACTTCAGTGCTTGGGCTCGGCGTCGGCATGGGCGCAGCTCCAGTGCTCAGGCTCGGCATCGGCGTGGGCGCGGCTCCATTGCTCGGGCTCGGCGTTGGCGTTGGCGTAGGAGTGGTGGTCGCCGACGGTCCCGACATCTGGTTCAAGATGAGGCCGCGCTCCGCCAGGTACACACCTTCACCTGCTCGTCCATCGTCGACGTGTCTCCCCCCATCAAGAACACCAGGTTGGTGTTCCTCTTCTTCACGACGACGTTGGTCCTAAGAAGGTCGAGCTTGGCGTCCTGCTTCATCATCAACGCCGACCACCTCGCGTCGGGTTTCTACTCCCTCTTGGCGGCGTTGCTCTTAGCATCGTCGATGCATTGCTCGATCGATGACCGTTCGGTAGCGGGTGCCGCGTCCCTTGCCACCTTGGCTCGTTTGTTGCCATCATGGCGCCCTTCTGCCGCCGGCGGGGTAGGCGCATCCGGGTTGTAGGTGTTCTTCGCCTTGGTGAGAGCGAGCCCGGCCTTCGTCCATTTCTCGCACGACTCGATCCTGGTGAACACATGAAGGAACTTGAACTCTTGGTCGCTGTTGTCCTGGCGAAACATGTTGAACATCCGAACCATCTGCACATCCAAACACAAAGTGTCGGTGAAGTACACGGCGAGGAACTGGGCCGGCGAACCATGGCCATACCTAACCCTCGACGTTGGCGCCGCTTTCCGGGCGAGCCGCGACCTCCTCTTGAATCCCATGCCACTTGTTACAGGCCGTCTGGATTGTCGCCCAGTGGTTCGCCATGGCCTTCTCGCCGCGGTCCATGTGGATGTTGGCGAAGTCCAGGTCGACCAACTTGCACTCGTCGAACGCCGTCTTGATCATTATCCAGTACGTGTCGACGTTTTGATTCGAGCCGGTGATCGGGTCGATGCTGACGGTCTTCCATGCTCCAGCGAGGCACTCGTCTTCCTTGGACGTCCACTTCAGGCGAGGCTCTGCCTTCTTCTTCTTTTTCGCTTTGGGCGCCGGCTCCACCTCCGCCGGTTCTTCCTCCATTTCCTCCTCGGCGCCATCGAGCTCGTCCTCGATATCGACGATGTCGTCCAGAGTTTCGTCTTGTGTGTGGAACCCGGGGCACGAAGCGGCAGCGACCGAGCCGCTCGTGATAATCTCGTCCATGTCGGCATCGGTGCTGCTGAACGGTGCCGCCGAGCCGTGTGTGAATGGGAGGGCGCCACGACGCAGAGATGGCGCAAGCGAAGCTGAGTAAGTCGGCAGCGAGTGCCTGTACTGGGTGTTGAGGCCGGCGGCGAACATGGGGGAGGGATACGCGAGTCGTGGTTGAAGCCGGCCGGGGATGTGCGCGGCGCCGCGCCATGTGGGAAGGTGATGTTGGGGTTGAAGCCGCCATGCGCGCCGCCGTCGGCATAGCCAGGCGAGGCCACGTACCCCCATAGCGGCAACGATAAGTTGGCCGGTGACGGTGACGCGGCGCTCTGTTGGCTTCCCCATGTGGCTTGGGGCACTGGCCGGCCTGTTGAGGTAAAAGGTTCGCCATCCCCGCGCGAGCCACCTCTCCCTGCTGCTTCGCCGCCGCCACGTCCCTAGCCTTCTTCATGATGAGCCTATTTCGCCGGTTTGTGGTCACCGCCTCCCGACGCTCAACGTCGGCCTTCCACTCGGCGTTCGACAAGCCCGGGGGTCTTGCCATTGGCGCCCTTGGCTTCCTCTGCTTTGGTTGAACGAAATCGCGGCTAGGCAAAGGGCGACATACTTCTTCGGCGGCATGACGGGCGGATCCGAGGAGAGAATGGCGGGAAGGGCGGGGGAGAAGGGGGCGACACTAGGGAAATGGAGGGAAAGGGGGAAGAAAACGACGGGAATTTGGCCGGTGTCGCCGACAGCACGGGCCCACGCGCCTTTTCGCTAAAGCCGACGCCCCAGGAGCCCCCCGACGCGCTGGGTTCGACTTGTGTTTGTCAGTTATAATTTCGGGCCAAACAGGCGATAAACGAGGATCTAGGGGCGTCG